GATGACGAACAGATGAGCAGTGAAGAGGAAAGTTCTTTCAAGTCAGGGAGTGAATCGGAACCTGAAGAAGTCGAAACTGAAGACGATTTTTGCAGAAAGACTTGCAACTTGAACAAAGACAACAACGTTTTACTTTATCAAAATGCTGAAGTGTCAAAGTTAGCAGCCCATGTAATGGTCAATCTTTTCATTATGGAACATAAACTATCAAATCAGGCAACAGAAGATCTAATTCAAATGATCAATTTTCTACTTCCTGGGGGACACAAGTTCGTACGTTCTGCTTACTTGTTAAAGAAATACTTCGTGAATTTATTAGAGGAACCACTACCAAAGAGACAAATATTGTGGAAGATACTTGGGTAGTATCCCTTCATCAACGGGCATTTGTAATAACAAACAATGTCAAATAGTCAATTCCCTGGTCAAAGAATTCTTGGAAATTGATCTTTCTAATCAGTTAACTCGTCTTTTCAAAGGTCAGCACTGGAGCAACATTTCAATAATACCATGTCAGCATAACATGTTTTAGTTGTTTTACTGTTTTGTTGGTCATCTGTTTGAATATTTGGACTTAGCTTGTGATGCTTTCAGTCACTCTGGAGATAAAAGAAATTCCAGACAGAAGTGAGATGGCAGCTTTTTGCCACACGATTTGGATCGCTTTTCTCTTATACAGATTTTTATAAATCATTAGTCAATGAGGCAAATCTTAAATTAGTATAAATTAGCTGATGCAAGCAAACTAGAGTGGAACTAACCACAGCAAACCGAGTGCAACTAACTGCAAACTGGAGTACAACTACTTAAGGTGGCTGCAGAACACAGTTTTCCAATCTTTGAAGAACCTATCCTTTATTTTGCACTGACGACCAAACAGTTGCATCTGATGAACTCAAAATTGGCAAGTTACAAGATAAGCTACTGCATTCGTAATTTTTGCGTGCCACTTTAGACCATGATGCATTACCATGGCAACACAGCTGATTATAAATCAACCAAAAAGATTGAATTCTTTACGATTTCAGAAAATTTAATCGGAGAATTTTTTCATTGTTTGTGTACAACAAACATGGAGGAATTGTAAACTTTGTAACATCGCATTAGCAAGGTTAGTAAGCTAGCTTACTTGCATAAAGGAAAACCGTATGCGTACAGGAATATATATAGTAAAAGCAAACATGACCAGTAGCATTGAAAAACACCTAAGTCACTGTTTTCGCTACAACTTCTTACATGATGACAACCTTTATGACATCTTCAGTGGATCAGTGTACAAGAACCTTCTGAAGCCTGGAGGACTCCTAGGACCAGACCATCCAATTTAACATATCATTTTCCTTCTACACTGATGGTGTAAATCCATTCAAATCCTCCCAGAAGCAGAATTTGTGGCCAATATTGTTAATAATTAATGAACTTCCACCTGAGTTAAGGTAAGTGGGAAAATGAACTGAACAGCTTGTATTGTAACAACATTGAACCTTCACAGCCTCACCCTTATATAATCNAACATATCATTTTCCTTCTACACTGATGGTGTAAATCCATTCAAATCCTCCCAGAAGCAGAATTTGTGGCCAATATTGTTAATAATTAATGAACTTCCACCTGAGTTAAGGTAAGTGGGAAAATGAACTGAACAGCTTGTATTGTAACAACATTGAACCTTCACAGCCTCACCCTTATATAATCAAGCTGCCAGATACGAAAGTCCCAGTGGACTTTCCTATAACTACAAACCTGGATTGCACTCCCCCTTTTGTCCTGCCTTCAAATATGCAAGCTCTGTTCAGAGTTAAGGTGCATTTTTGTTTATTTTCAAAAAAATACCCGTCATCAGTTCTGTTCTACAAGTATGCATGCTGATTATTTCAACTACAAGATTTTGTCAAGCTATACTTGACCTTACGGAGGCTCAGAACAGGACAACATTTTGTCAAGTATCAAAACAGAGTCTGTTGGTTAAATTAATACATGTATGTTTATTAGTTCTATACCAAACTTTATTGTACAGACAATGCAGGAAGTACCTTCTTTTGGTTGGGTTGTGGTGTTTGAGTAAAAAGCCAAACATGCTCACTTTTGGACAGCCAGTGATTAAAGTGCTATTTGTGATCTCTACCAAAACGGTAAGTACTTTGGACGGAGTCAACCCTGTAAAGCTATTATAATGCTGACCTTCATCTAATTTCTCCTTATGACACCAAGTGCTCACGTAGTATAAATAAAAGCAACAATAATAATAATACTTTATTCAAATACAAATACAGATAAACAATTAGTATTTTTTGTATTTGAAAAGGAGGACAATGAGGTTAACCCTATTTAGGTCCCCTGACTATAGTTAATTAAAATAATTTACAATCTAAAATTTTAAAATTTCTAAAATAAATAAAATTTTAAAATCTAAAGTATCTACTAGAAATCAGTATCTAGCACTGAGGCGGCAGTAGTATATAATAATGGATGTTGATCCACTTTTTTAAGCTCGCTTTAAATCTGTAAGGTAATGTGAGAAAAATTTTGTCTCTTACGGCCCTTTAATGTACTTCAGATCATTCAAAACTATTGTTGTAGGAATTCCTGTTAATGTGAATTCTGGAGAAAAAAGGATCCATGCCACACTGCTTTTATGTACTGAAGATCTTCAGGCCAAATCATTAGTAACAAACATGAAACAGTACAATGGGGAAAGTAGTTGTTCGACATGTTTTGATTCTGGGCAGACTGTAGGAAAAAACAACCTTCACAGGGTATGGCCTCATACTCCAAACATGAAGTACAGAATGCATAAGTCTATGGTGAAATGTGCTTATGAAGCTACAAAATCAGGTGTGTTGGTATGTATGTAATTCTAAACTCAGTTTTATTAGCAAGTTATAGTTAATGTCCTGCATGTATTAATTTATATAAGGTTGCTTTCCTTTAATCCAATTATTACCTGAGATTAATCAAATTCTAGCACATCCGTTGAACAAAAGGAAAATCTGAAAATGGTAAAATGATTAAATTATGTTGCTACTTATATTCTACTTGATGAATTAAAACGGTACGATGCTACAAGTGAACAAAAAGCAACATCTGTGCTGGCCCAAACTGGCTGTCGCAGGAGCCAATGGGTTAAGACCAAGTGTGCAGTTCAAAATAATATAGCCAACATTTTTTTTTAGTTTTCTTACTCACTCTCACATTTCCTGTACTACAGGTGAAAGGAGTTAAAGGTGCCTCTGTATTTATGCTCTTCAAGGAGTTCAATCTTGTTGAAGGATTTGCACCAGACTGGATGCATGGCGTTTGTCTTGGCTTGATAAAGAATTTGCTTGCATTTTGGCTTAATGGAGAACATAAAAGCAAGGACTTTTACATAGGGAACAAGGTATACATGTACATGTAAGGGTATTGATTAGGTTTAAGCCTAATGAACACCCTTACAATAAATGGCTTAATGTGGAATTTCACAAGTGTCAGAACAGTTTAATATTCCTATTTGGTTCATCTCACACTATGAGATTCAGCATTCAATTTAGATGTCACATTTAATTGTTAATTGTTACTTGCTTATAGCATGTGACTGTAAAGTTTAAAGGTAAAAACAAAAATAAAAAAGTTAAGACAATCAAATCAATTCTGTTACAGATTGCTGCCCTAGATAAACGTCTGACCTCAATCAGAGTTCCAGATGTGATTTCCTGAAAACCTAGAACACTAGAAGACAGAGCACATTGGAAAGGTAATTAGCAGTTATTCATTGCAATGACTTCACGCCTGAAGCTATAGCATGCATGTCATAGGCCTTAACATTACTATTTACCAAGTAAACAATAGTAAGTTGTTTGTAATAATTATTTACATATACCTTTATTTCAGCCACAGAATTCAGGGCTTGGTTGCTGCATTTCTCAGTGCCAGTGCTGATGGGGATCCTACCTCCTCCTTACCTACAACACTACTCTTTGATGGTTACAGCAATGTCACTTCTTGTTAGCGAGAAAATATCTCACAAAGACCTCAGTGATGCAGAAAAGATAATAGACCTGTTCTGCAAGGAACTTGNTCTTGTTGAAGGATTTGTACCAGACTGGATGCATGGCATTTGTCTTGGCTTGATAAAGAATTTGCTTGCATTTTGGCTTAATGGAGAACATAAAAGCAAGGACTTTTACATAGGGAACAAAGTATACATGTACATGTAAGGGTGTTGACTAGGTTTAAGCCTAATCAACACCCTTACAATAAATGGCTTAATGTGGAATTTCACAACTGTCAGAACAGTTTAATATTCCTATTTGGTTCATCTCATACTATGAGATTCAGCATTCAATTTAGATGTCACATTTAATTGTTAATTGTTACTTGCTTACAGCGTGTGACTGTAAAGTTTGAAGGTAAAAACAAAAATAAAAAGGTTAAGACAATCAAATCAATTCTTTTACAGATTGCTGCCCTAGATAAACGTCCGACCTCAATCAGAGTTCCAGATGTGATTTCCCAAAAACCTAGAACACTAGAAGACAGAGCACATTGGAAGGGTAATTAGCAGTTATTCATTGCAATGACTTCATGCCTGAAGCTATAGCATGCATGCCATAGGCCTTAACATTACTATTTACCGAGTAAACGATAAGTTGTTTGTAATAATTATTTACATATACCATTATTTCAGCCACAGAATTCAGGGCTTGGTTGCTGCATTTCTCAGTGCCAGTGCTGATGGAGATCCTACCTCCTCCTTACCAACAACACTACTCTTTGATGGTTACAGCAATGTCACTTCTTGTTAGTGAGAAAATTTCTCACAAAGTCCTCAGTGATGCAGAAAAGATAATAGACCTGTTCTGCAAGGAACTTGGCACCTTATATGGTAAATATTAATTTTGCATGATGTAATATCGTAGCTACCTCAAAAAATAAAAAGGAAATCCTAGGCAATGCCTTTACCTTGTTCTTGTGCATTTCAGACTGCTTTTTCTTCACTATATTGTTTTTCTTTGATTAGGTGAAAAGGCAATGACTATGAATGCCCACCAGTTGCGCCATTTTGTCTACTTTGTAAGGCTTTATGGTCCTTTGTGGGTGTACTCTTGTTTTGGCTTTGAAAACATGAATGGCTGTTTAACAAGCTTGATCCATGGAAAAAGACACAATGCAGAACAGGTACCTCCAGCCTTAAATTTGTAGTTGTAGTAATAAAAGTAAGAGTTTAAAGGATAGAAATGTTAGTATTCTTTTTAAAGTACGTGATTGTATAAGATTAATTGTTGTGTGTTCATTGAACATCTAAAAACATAATATTTTTTCCCTTTTCATAGGTAGCATTTGCACTGTCAGTCTTGAGGAATCTTCCATCTCTTGTCACAAAACTGAATCCCTCTCTCAACTCTTCATCAGTGATGAAATTTACAAAGAGGTTGTCATGTGAACATTCCAGGTAAATAAGAGCTGTTGCAGAGGAGGATATTAAGAAATATTTTGTAATTCTATACTGTATCAACACTGTACTTTGTTAAAACTGATTATGAAAACAATAACACGAGAAAATTAGTCTCCCTTGTTTATACTGGTTAGCCTTTCCCTTGTTTGTACTGATTAGCCTCCTGCCAGTTGGTGTTTTTCAACAAGTTTATATTCGATTTGCAATATTTGTTTATTTATTTACAGTGTCCACAATAATTAGCACATCAGTGCTCAATACATTGACACTTAAAGTTATTTATTTTATTTTTATAGAATTATTTATTAAAAGTTTTAAGTTGTGCAAATTTTACATGCCATTGATATTGACTATGGTTAAAAAAATTAGGGCTGGTGTGTCGATCATAGTACAAGTGCATTAACATTATTTTGAAGTGAATGAAAAATTATGCTTTTAAGTTTGTGGTGCAGGTCACTTATTTTATTTTGAAAAATGAACATGTACATCCAGAAATTAGTGTCACTTCATTTCCTTTGTCATTGTTGTCTAACAAATTGTCGTTTATTATTATTATTATTTTTTTTTTTTTTTTTTTTTNTTATTATTATTATTTTTTTTTTTTTTTTTGCTGTTTATTTCATTTGCAGCTCTGCCCTAAGCTTTGAATGCCAGCCTGGGTACTTTTTCCTTGGAAAGCCAAAGAGTGAGCATTTAAAGCCAGAACACAGGGAAGCCCTTAGCACCTTTTTTGCCTGTCAAGGGATGTTCTTACTTGCCAACAAAGTTGATTTGTATTACCGCTTAAAGATGAGGAGGTAAACAATCACCGATTGCTATATGAGAGAGCTAAGACGACTTGTAGTTACACAGTCCTATACCAGGACAGCAGTCGCCAAAGCCAGTTTGGAGACATCTGTTGTTATGTCCACCACCAAAGTTTATCCCTGGCCATTGTCAAGCAGCACAGGACAGTGCCTGGTTCTTTCATAACCTACAAGGGCTTTAACCTTTTAAATCACATGTCTAAAGTAGTGTACTGTAACAACTTTGTTGCTGTTAAGTTGGAACAACTGAGGGATANGATTATGAAAATAATAACAGAAGAAAATTAGTCTCCCTTGTTTATACTGCTTAGCCTTTCCCTTGTTTGTACTGATTAGCCTCCTGCCAGTTGGGGTTTTTCAACAAGTTTATATGCGCTTTGCAATATTTGTTTATTTATTTACAGTGTCCACAATAATTAGCACATCAGTGCTTAATACATTGACACTTAAATAAAGTTATTTATTCATTTTATTTTTATAGAATTATTTATTAAAAGTTTTAAGTTGTGCAAATTTTACATGCCATTGATATTGACAATGGTTAAAAAAAATTAGGGCTGCTGTCGATCATAGTAAAAGTGCATTAACATTATTTTGAAGTGAATGAAAAATTATGCTTCTTTTAAGTTTGTGGTGTAAGTCATTTATTTCATTTTGAAAAATGAACATGTACATCCAGAAATTAGTGTCACTTCATTTCCTTTGTCATTGTTTTCTAACAAATTGTATTTTATTATTAAATCACATGTCTAAAGTAGTGTACTGTAACAACTTTGTTGCTGTTAAGTTGGAACAACTGAGGGATATTTGTGTCAAGGTGGAAGTTGCTGGGAAAAATGATGTGTTCATAAGTAGATTCCCAAATCTGGTGGAGAGAAATTAGGTTTATCTTACAGACAGAAATCTATGGTTATACATGCAGTGACCAAAAAGAATATGATTTAAAGAAATAAAACATGGCATGTACAAGTACATGTGTTCGTATAATTTTATAAGCTGTGCTGCATCTGGGAGATATAGTTATAAAAATAGTAAAACCTGTTCTGTATTTTTTAATCAGTGACATTTTTTATCAAAAGTAGCTGGCCCATGAATTATAACAGCCTAAATTATCCCACCTTAGTAGATCCCACTTATATATCCTGTCAGATCACAACTCTTTTGCTTGGGATCTCAGAAATAGTTATTTGTACTACTTGCTTGGAATACAGACTTATATCCCACAAATCCCACCCCAGATCCCGAATGTCTCACCCAGGATCCCAACATTTCCACCTGTGATCCCAACTGCCCCTCCTGTGATCCCAACTTTCCTGCCCAGAATCCCTACTGTCCTGCCTGGGATCCCAACTTTCCAACCAGAGATCCCTACTGTCTTACCCAGGATCCCAACTGTCCCAGCTGGGATTCATACTGTCCCGCCTGGGATGCCTACTGTCCCACCCAGGATCCCAACTGTCCTGCTCGGGATTTGTACTGTCCCACCTGGGATCCCAATTGTCCTGCCTGGAATCCCAATTGCCCCTCCCGGGATCCCAATTGTCCCGCCAGGGATCCCAATTGTCCCACCCAGGATCCCGGCTATCCCACTTGGGATTCCAACTTTCCTGCGCGGGATCCCGGCTATCCCACCTGGGATCCCAACTTTCCCGCCCAGGATCCCACCTATCCCGCCCGTGATCCTGCCTATCCTGCCCAGGATCCCAGATTAAGTTTTACATGGGATTCCATGGATACGTTCTAGTGCCATTTGTTGCATTGAGGAACCCCCTTTGAAGTGCTCTTTCTTGACAATTTTGGTCCCTTTTCGAGTGTGATGGTCATTAGAATGCGATGAGGACGAATGGCTCTCCATTCCAGAACTAGAACTGCTGGTAGAACTTTCTATAGCTTTCAACTTTTGTAGTAGCTGTTGTTTTATTTTTACTATTTTTTTTGGTTTATTCTTTTGGAAAAATACGCTGGGGTTTTCAATTCACACTGCACAGTCACTGGGGAAGCATAAAAATAGCTGGGTAAAATCAAAATATTTGCTGGGTACTGGGGAGGCTAAATTTTCACTGGGTAGGGGAAAATAATCCACTGGGTTGGGTTCCACTGGGTCTGTTACAGAGGAGTGTTCTGATGTTTGGAATATATGTTTACTGTTAAATAGGTCTATACTAATTAGGTGTTAGGCTATTACTAATTGATCAATTAGTAACTTTAGAATGCATGAACGTGTCTAAAAAGTCAACTTCTTTTATTGGACGAAAATTTTCTAGCGCTGAAAAGAAGATTTAAAAAATGCTTTTAATAGTTGCAAACACCTGAACAGGTTTATTCTGGGAAAAATTGATTTATTAGAAAACGTGTTATAATAAGAGTGTAAATTTCCTGAGGAATAATATTGCAGTACTCCCAGTGCAATCAAACTCCAATCGTTCGATTGATTTTGTTTGGGTTTGGCAATGGAGTACAATCGAACTCACCAAAAATATCCAGCCAATTGAACACAATCGAACATGTGTTAATCGAACCCTCATTTGATCGAAAAATTACGTTCGATTGACTAAGCCTGGCATTGAAACCCGTTTCAACCGGTTTCTAAAGTTATGTGTGGTCTTGGCATTATAAACGTGAGTACCCAGGCAATGTTGAAACAATTAACAATCCCCAGCATGGTTGTTTAAGGCAACCTCAAGTGCTCTTTCACCAAATGTCAGGGAAAAATTGATTAAATTGGATTGGTTCAATTGAGTTTGGTAATCAAACTGACCAAAAAGTTGGAGTTTGATTACATGTGCGATTGGCGAACCAACCGTAAAACAATCGAACGACTAGACTTCGTGTTACTAAAAAACGATTTGAAACTGATCTAAAAAATCTAAAAGTTAAAATGATGTTATAAAAACTTATAAGAAATTAAATTTTCAACAACTCTCTGTTGCTTTCGTCAGAGTTTTTTTTAGATCAGTTTCAAATCGTTTTTAATAACATTAACACTGATCGCCAGAATAACATCGACTAGACTTCGATTGAGTTTGACTTGTTTTTTGTTATGTTTGGTTCGATTGATTATGTCGGGGGTACTCTATGTTGTGTACGTTGAAAGTAATTTTTTCTAACAGCAGCAATTTTCATTTCGACGTTGTTCATCAGTTATTCTATAATCTATTTTCTTAAGAGTAGTTTTATAACATGTTACAGTTATATTGTCCGGAAATTCAATAACATTTTGTCCAAACTTTTCTTACCTTGATCGAAAACATTGCGGAGGTCTTGGAAATCGGGATGCTATAGGGATTTAAGGGAAACCGTGCTCGTTTTCGGATCCTGGCTCGAGAAAAAGGGCGGCCTGCAAAAAGCTATGCACTGCTTTTTAATGTAAGATATACCTTTATGCTCTATCTTCTGTGTCAAAATATGTTTAACTTATATTTGCAAATCACGTAAACTTCTGTTCTACAGTGAAACCACATAACTATCTTTAATATCTTAACTGTAACTTTCAAAAGTTGAAACTAAAGAAATCTTACGCACATTCCAATGGTGAAATGTCTCACACTAAGGTTTACAAGGGTCAAACACTGTACAAAGACAGTTGTACAACATATTACTTTCTTATGCCACTGTATCAGTAATAAAATAATTAATCTACATGAAGTTTTCATTTTCTAAAACGGTGCAATTAACACATAGACATGACAAAGATAATACATATAGTGCACAGACTACAATTGTCTGTAAAGTGAGGTTAACTTTGTATGAGAGTGTGTCACTCGGGTAACAGAAAAGTGTGTGTTGTCTGTATTATGCAGGCTAATTTAAGAGAAAACATATGAGCTTTTCGACTGCGTGGCGACCGCTATGTCGATGGATGGAGATCGATGGATGGTATCGATCGACACTCAGCCATGGGTGTCAGCAGAGCATCGATAGAGTATCAGACGAGTGTGGACAGCCTATGGACCGACTAGCAGGAGACTATCACCCGACACATGAGTCAGTCGACACTCGACCGACTATCGCCTGTTGTTGGTTGAGTGTCGATCATGTATCGGTCAACATGTAGACTGAATGGCAACCGACATGTCGGTCGCGGGTCGATCGAGGTGTCGATCGCTAGTATCGATTGACACTCGATCGTGGGTGTCATTAGTACACATGATCCAGTTTGCATGCAGAGGGTATGTATGTAATATTCAAAGACTGGGTCCAGGCAATTTAGGGCTGAAGGAGTCTGGTAACAAATACGTAATATGGCTGAGAAATATCAGTGAATTGCCAACGTTCTCCTGTGTGGCTGTGTGGTGAGGCATGTGGACTTGAAATCTAAAGATAGGTGAGATCAAGACTCGGTAAGAAGCACGTTAGAGTTTCTTATTTTGACCATTCAATACAATGTTGGTCAGTGGAGGAGGGGAGGGTGATATGTTAAAATGGAGAGAACAGTAGGTAGGGTAAAAGGCATGATAAGAATAGATGAGGGTTAAGTAGGGGAGAGGAGGCAAGAGAAAGAAGACTAGAGACTGGAAGTAATTTCTTTTCTGTTTATTACATAATTTCCTTTTCATTTATCTGTCCCTAACAAAACAAAATGTGCAGACAGTTGAACCTACGTTGATAACTGATTTGAACTAGGTTGAGAACAAATTTTACCTAGGTAGTTATGGATGACAACCTTAACCTAGTTTGATGACTGGTTTTACCTGAGAACAGATTTTACCTGCAACATATACACTCCTGGGGCAGAAGGTTGCCTACATGTACTTCTCCATGTAGCTTTCCTTGTACCAGATAAAGGGACAAATGAATTAAGCTGTGTGGCCTCTCAATAAAGCACAAATTATCTCCTGAATTTCAAACCTCTAGAAAAATGGTGTCCATGGTGGTCAATGTTGTCACACGAGAGATAGATCATAGTCTTGTGTCACATGGATTTCCAAAAAATGACATCATTTTTGACAATTTCAACTACCTCTCTTACTTTCCCAGGTGATCCTGTCACATCACTGAAAGCTGCACGTAGACTGGAAGATTTTGATCCCATGATGAAGACACTGTTCACGTGTGACAGAATGACTTTAAACATTATAACCCTGACGCTTTCTTACATGATATTTTGCAAGTTCCTTTGTCTGTTACTTAGGTTTTTAGCAACATAAATAATAAGCTGAATGCTTTTAACCTGTTGTTTAATGACATTTTTGACCAACATGCTCCTCTTAAGATCTTTAGAGTACATGGGAAACCTAACCCTTGTGTAACTGACAATATCCGTGCACTGATGAGAGAAAGGGATTCCTGGAATAGACTTGCTAAAAGGACAAACGATCTGATGGCTTTGCCAGTGTAAAAAAACTTCAGGCGAGAGGTAAAACGGGAAATTAGACTTGCAGAATGAGAATTTGTCACTGATCAGATCCAAAGTAATCCTAGAAACTCCAATAACATCTGGAAAGCTATTCGCCACTGCATTCCGAAAAATTCTACTTCTTTGAGAAATTCAGCAGAGACGATAAAACTGTCGCTGAATAGTTAATCAATTTTTTGTGTCCATTGGTCAAAAGACTGTTAACAAGATTAAATCCTTGGCTAATGAGCATTGTCACGTTCTTCACGAGCATCGTTTCACACCTAGACAACACCCCATATGCGAGCAGTTTTCCTTAAGTTGTACTGACAGCAAGGAAATAAAAGGCATAATAGTGTCAATGCCATCTAACAAAGCCTCGGGAATTGATAACATTCCAACCGTGTTATTAAAGTTTGTATTGCACCTATTCTTCCTGCAATTACATCTATATTTAATTCCTCTCTTGGCTCCTCAACATTTCCTTCTTGGAAAATAGCAGAAGTTGCGCCTATTCCCAAAGATGGTGATCGCGAACAAGCAAACAATAATCGGCCTATTTCCCTGTTACCTGTTCTTTCAAAGATTTACAAACGGGTTGCTCATAATCAATTTAATTCCTACCCAACCTGTAAGGAATGGCTATCAAAGAACCAAAGTGTCCACAAGAAATAGCATTCAACTGATGCAACAGTAATTAAATCTACGGACACAATACTTAGCGGCTTTGATGCAAGTAAACTGACAGCAATGGTGTTATTGGATACGAGCAAAGCATTTGATAGCATCAGTCATGAAATTCTGTTACTCAAGTTGAAGGATGTTGGTGCCTCTAACACCTGTCTCCAGTGGTTTAACAGTTACCTCAGTGATTGACAGCAGGTTGTAAGGATAAACTCTACATTGTCTGAGTCCCTGTCATTACGTAGTGGTGTCCCACAAGGTAGCATCCTAAGCTCTATGGGTGTCAGTAAAAGATCTTCTAGGATAACAAGGGAGGTGCAGATAAATGAAGGCTCTGCTGCTTTGATGCACTTCCCACACAGATGGTCATGGGATCTCCATGCTGTTGATGGCATACGACGTCAGAAAGTCTAACAACTCACTATTTGTTTGGACTGTTGCAACTGCATGAGACCAAAAGCAATACCACTTCTTCTTGCACCTATACTCTCCTTTCCCCATTTTCAATCTTGTACTACCACTAGGGCACACACAGTTGCATTGGGCTTTTGAAGAATCTCAACAGCCTTTTCGTATGTTCATTTTAGTGGTTTTAAATGGCTGATGTCCAAAATGCTGAATTTGTGTAACATGATCGTGGACAATTCTTCGCTTCTGTGAACTTCTGACATTGCAGGCTCTTCATAGTCATGTAACACAGTCAGTCCTGCATCAGCTAGTAAGGA